CCAAATCAAAATTGCATTAATATATAAGCCCTTCTTCTTTTTCTTCTTCCTAAATCCTCCAACAATAAAAAAAATGGAGACGATGTCAAGAAGCCTAAGCAAGAGCTTAGGAGAGTTGTTAACAAGCAATAGTAACCATTTTTCAAGGAGAAGCGGTTCGATTGATGATCATGACGAGGAAGCTCTTAAATGGGCTGCTCTTGAGAAACTTCCAACTTTCACTCGTCTTCGTACCACTATCATCCAACCTCATGAACTTGTTGACGTCACCAAGCTAGGCGTTGGTGATCGTCAGAAGTTCATCGATTCTGTCTTTAAAGTCACCGACGAAGATAACGAGAAGTTCTTGAAAAAGTTTAGGAACCGAGTCGATAGGTATGTCCTTAACTATAACAAAATAAAGTTTTCTGGATCTTGGAAGGGCTGTTTTTTAGACATGCAACCGTTCTATTATCAAACTAATACGATTCATGTCTTTAACAAAAAGTTGCATATAACTATTTTAAAGAATTCAACGTAAAAGATAGTTTTGATAGAAAATATCCAGATTAAATAACATTTTCATATATTTCTTCTTTTCAAGAACATGTATAATAATATGAAAAAAAAAAAACATTTGTTATCTGAGTTTGAATAATGATAGTTATGTAACAACACATTGTCACAAAACATCATGACAGGGTGGGGATAAAGCTACCGACCGTGGAGGTAAGATTCGAGAAAATGACTATAGAGGCGGATTGTCACATTGGTAAAAGAGCTCTTCCAACGTTACCTAACGTTGCATTAAACATTGCCGAGAGAGGCCTTCGTTTATTTGGTTTAAGCTTTGCTAAAACCACTAAGCTCACTATTCTTAGAGATGCTTCTGGTATCATCAAGCCTTCAAGGTAATTAACTCGATATTATTATCAACTATTTCTGTTTTATATATTTTTAAATTTGACTACTTTCAGTATAATATTTTGTTTTGGACGTTTGGTGGGTTGTAGAGTGACACTTTTATTAGGTCCACCATCATCAGGGAAAACAACTCTTTTGTTAGCGTTAGCTGGAAAATTGGACCCAAGCTTAAAGGTTAGATAAACAATGATTAAATACAGAGATTAGAGAAAGCTAGATTAATTTGTAAATTGATTAATGAAAATGGGCAGGTGGAAGGGAGGGTAACATACAATGGGCATGGATTAGAAGAGATTGTGCCACAGAAAACGTCAGCATACATAAGCCAAAACGATGTTCATATTGGAGTCATGACTGTCCAAGAGACTCTTGATTTTTCTGCTAGGTGCCAAGGCATTGGCACTAGATACGGTAGTTACCACTTTTTCTACTAGTTTATAATCGAAATTAGTTAGATTCGAAATCAAATTAAGAAAAACTCAAGCTTTATAATTGTGATGTTATTAGATTTGTTAAGTGAGTTGGTGAGGAGAGAGAAGGACGCAGGGATCTTACCCGAACCGGAAGTGGATCTATTCATGAAGTCCATCGCAGCTGGGGATGCCAAGAGCAGTCTCATCACGGACTACACTCTCAAAGTACTGATCTCTCTTTTAACCTATAGTCGACAATGGTATATAGATTCAATATATCTAATGATACAGCGTGTAAGGTTACAATCAAAGTCACTTAGAGCATGATTAATGAGTGTTCTTAGGATAAAGTTTTTAGCAAATTATAAGAAACCGTCCCTTAACTTTTAACTAAAAAAGTTAAGAATCGGCTATTAAATATTTTCTCCAGATATTAGGGCTTGACATATGCAAAGATACGATGGTCGGAGACGAAATGACACGAGGAATTTCAGGTGGTCAAAAGAAAAGAGTTACAACAGGTCTAGTTTTACCCAATTTTCATCTATACTTCCATGATAACTCCATGAACCACCACCATGCACAATATCACAACCTTCTTTTTTTTTATTTAACAGGAGAAATGATAGTGGGACCAACAAAGACATTGTTCATGGACGAGATATCGACAGGTCTAGATAGTTCAACAACGTACCAAATAGTGAAATGTCTTCAAGAAGTTGTTCGGTTCACGGACGCAACGGTTTTAATGTCTTTGTTACAACCAGCTCCTGAAACGTTTGAGCTCTTTGACGACATCATTCTGTTGTCGGAAGGCCAGATCGTGTACCAAGGTCCACGTGACCATGTTCTTTCCTTCTTTGAGACTTGCGGTTTCAAGTGTCCCGACCGCAAAGGCACCGCCGATTTCTTGCAAGAGGTATGTATATTTTTTTGTTTTTTTTGTCAATTGTAAAATGTATATATGTATCCAATATTTTTGTTCATTCTGGCTTAACTCTAATGAGACTCCCTAACATCGAATCTGCTGTGATTTCATCTTCAATAGAACTTCAAAAATACACTATCTCACAAAATTTGTTGTTAACACTACTCATCACACCAAATCCTAAAAATATATTTTATTGTGTTTCAATTAATTATATATTATATAATTAAATTAGTAGTTAAAAATATATAAATTAATTAAAACAAAGCATAAATACAAATAAATTAGTTAAACCAAAATATTTGTATACAACCTAAATAAACCTTAAGAAACTATAATATTTGAACAAATAAAGAGAAAAAAATAATATAATAAAATAATAATTATTCATTACAAATAATTAAAATTCATACTTTGCTTGAAGATGAAAATTAAAATCGAATATCAAAACGCCAAATTGGCTGTTATAATTGGAGTTCCCCTTACATAATTTATACCATCATTTCATTTCACATTAAATGTCGTTTAGTTTTTTTAACGTATATTAAGAAAATAATTAATATTTCCTTTTTACATTAATACATTATATTATTTAATTTTATAGAACTAATAAATAAAATAAATAAAGATAAAATTGGAAAACCTGTTAAATAAATATATTAAAAATATAAATAACAGTTATTTTAATTTTTGTTTTTAAAATTTGAAATTTGACTTAGTATGAAATAAAGAGTATTATTCCACAAATTGATAATTTAGTCGAATTTTACTATGTCACTGAATTGAAGCTATGCTAAAGAAAGAAAGATCCATAAATGATTTATGTATCCCATTACAAACATGAAACTACTGTAATGAATGACTCATGAGTATTTTTGTGTGTTCATATAATTTCGAAAACGTTGGGTGACAAAATCGTAACATGCTCAAAATAACATGTTAATAAGTTTTTTTTTTTTTTTAAATGACGCACTTGCCTTGGTAAACAGGTAACTTCAAGGAAAGACCAAGAACAGTACTGGGCAGACACGACAAAACCATACAGATACATTCCTGTTTCCGAATTCTCCAAACAGTCCAAAACCTTCCATGTCGGAGCCAATCTTGAAAACGATCTATCTGTCCCTTACGACAGATTCAAATCACATCCAGCTTCTCTCGTATTCAACAAACACTCTGTCCCCAAATCTGACCTCTTCAAAATCTGTTGGGATAGAGAACTGCTTCTCATAAAACGCAACGCTTTCTTCTACGTTTTCAAGACCGTTCAGATCATTATAATGGCCTTGATCACGTCGACCGTGTACCTGAGGACGGGGATGGGCACAAAGGACGAGAATGATGGAGCTGTCTACATCGGTGCGTTGACATTCTCCATGATCGCTAACATGTTCAATGGATTCGCAGAGCTTTCTTTGATGATTCAAAGACTTCCCGTGTTCTACAAGCAACGTGACCTTTTGTTTCACCCTTCTTGGACCTTTACTCTCCCTGCTTTCCTCTTGAGCATTCCTGTCACCATCTTTGAATCTGTTGTTTGGGTCAGCATTACTTATTACTTGATCGGTTTTGCTCCAGAATTCATCAGGTGATTATAATTATTGAACCATCAAACTCAACTTGTTACATTGTTCATTAGTTCATGCAGTAAACAAGTCTTGAAGATATTAGTGTTAACTTCATATTTATGAAAAGTTAAGTCTCTAAACCTTTTTTTGTGTGTTTATGGCAGGTTCTTGAAGCATCTATTGGTGATATTTCTTACACAACAAATGGCTGGTAGTATTTTTAGATTCACTGCGGCAACATGCAGGTCCATGATACTTGCTAATACAGGAGGATCTCTAGTTATTCTACTCCTCTTCTTGCTTGGAGGGTTCATTATTCCCAGAGGTTATACATATATATATACTTTTACATTAAAAAAAAAAGAAATCTGCATGTATTGAAAATAACTTAAATTATTTGGTTATGTTAACAGGTGAGATTCCTATATGGTGGAAATGGGCTTATTGGGTTTCACCAATGGCTTACACTTACGATGCTTTAACTGTAAATGAGATGCTTGCTCCTAGATGGATGAATCAACAGGTAACTTCAGTAGTATCAATCTTGTAATATCAAATGATTAGTTTAACATAACTAGTTAATGTTTTAAATTTCCTTGCAGTCTTCTGATAACTCCACGAAGCTAGGGTTGGCTGTTCTTGAGATGTTCGATGCATTCACTGATCCAAACTGGTACTGGATTGGTGTAGGAGTCATTCTTAGCTTTACGATTCTCTTTAACATCCTAGTCACACTCGCTCTTGCATTCCTAAACCGTAAGGCTCACCTATATAAATTCTTTGTTTTTTTTATTATATATTTTTTTAAAGAATCTTATATCTACAATAACTTGAGACAAATATGCTCATATCCAATTGGTTTTGATGTGGCAAAAATGAACACTGATACGTCTTTTAGTTTGTTCTTAAGTTAACATCTTGTTTCTTGATATGCCAGCACTTGAGAAGCCGCAAGCCATCGTTTCTAAAGAGAAAACAGAGGAAAACAGAGCAGTGAGTGGCTCAGAAAGTGAAAGCAGTTACGTGAAAAGAGGAATGGTTCTACCTTTTACTCCTTACACAATGTCTTTTGACAATGTCAACTACTACGTCGACATGCCTAAGGTAACACCAAATCCAAAATCCTTAATCTTATAAAAGTTGAAACTGTAAGTCTGTAAACAATAATGTTATATAACCATAACACAACAACTAGGAAATGAAAGAAGAAGAAGATGCCAAGGATAAGCTTCAGCTTCTAAGGGAAGTGACAGGGGTGTTTAGACCAGGAGTATTAACAGCTCTTATGGGAGTAAGTGGAGCTGGTAAAACCACTTTAATGGATGTTTTAGCTGGTAGAAAAACCGGTGGATACATCGAAGGAGACATTAGAATCTCTGGTTTCCCCAAAAGACAAGAAACTTTTGCAAGAATCTCTGGTTATTGTGAACAGAACGATATCCATTCACCGCAAGTCACTGTCAGAGAGTCTCTCATCTACTCAGCTTTCCTTCGTCTCCCAAAAGAAATCACCAAAGATGAGAAAATGGTAATGCTTCCTCTCTCAACTTTACACCATTAAAGATCACTAGAAAAATCTAATTACAAAAATTTTGTAGAGATTTGTGGACCAAGTGATGGAGTTAGTAGAGCTGAAGAGTCTAAAAGACGCGATAGTAGGGCTTCCAGGGCTCACAGGGCTATCAACAGAGCAGAGGAAGAGACTTACCATTGCAGTGGAGCTAGTGGCGAATCCATCTATAATCTTCATGGATGAGCCAACTTCAGGGCTTGATGCTAGGGCTGCAGCAATTGTGATGAGGACGGTGAGGAACACAGTTGACACAGGAAGAACTGTTGTCTGCACAATCCACCAACCTAGCATTGATATCTTTGAAGCTTTTGATGAGCTTCTGCTCATGAAGAGAGGTGGACAAGTGATTTACGCTGGTCCTTTAGGTCAAAACTCCCACAAGATTATTGAATATTTCCAGGTTAGATTCTATATATTTTTTTTATAGGAATATAACTTTGAAAAGATTAATATTCTCTTGAGAAACTACAGGCAATTCCTGGAGTTGTTGAAATTAAAGAGAAGTATAATCCAGCGACTTGGATGCTAGAAGTGAGCTCAATGGCTGCAGAAGCTAAGCTTGAGATAGATTTTGCTGAGCATTACAAAACATCATCCTTATATGAGTAAGTCAAATACAAGACTAAAAAAATTAAATGATTCACACTAGGTCACACTGATTATTAGAACTGGTTTTGGTCATGTAGACAAAACAAGAAGCTGGTAAAGGAACTAAGCACACCACCACAAGAAGCAAAAGATCTATACTTCTCTACACAGTTCTCGCAATCATTGTTAGGACAATTTAAGTCTTGTCTGTGGAAACAGTGGATAACTTACTGGAGAACTCCAGATTACAATCTAGCCAGATTTTTCTTTACGTTGGTTGCAGCTCTCATGGTCGGATCAATTTTCTGGAAAGTTGGCACAAAAAGGTTTGTTCAAAAGGATCTGAACTGAACCGTACTTGCATAAACCCTAAACAACTTCTTGTATGGATGGACAGGGACAATGCGAATGATCTTACGAAGGTTATTGGAGCGATGTATGCTGCGGTTTTATTCGTGGGAGTAAATAACTCCACATCTGTCCAACCACTCGTAGCTGTGGAACGAACTGTGTTCTATCGAGAAAGAGCTGCTAAAATGTACTCTGCTTTACCCTATGCCCTAGCTCAGGTGAGAATAAAACTTACTTGTTGCACAAGAAATCTTTACAGCTAGTAATTAACTAAACATATTACAATGGTCTCAGGTGATATGTGAAGTACCGTATGTACTGTTCCAAACTTCGTATTATACGTTAATTGTATACACAATGTTGTGCTTTGAGTGGACAGTGGTCAAGTTCTTTTGGTTTTTCTTCGTATCATTCGTCTCATTCCTCTACTTCACATACTACGGGATGATGGCTGTGGCCATCACCCCGAACCAGCAAGTCGCAGCTGTATTCGCTGGAGCTTTCTACGGTCTTTTCAATCTATTTTCTGGTTTCCTCATCCCTAGACCGGTTAGTTTTCTATTACTTCTCTTGCAAGAAACCTAAAACCCTAAGGATTTCAACTATTTATAAGTTGATATATTTTTATTCTCCCACAGAGAATCCCGAAATGGTGGGTATGGTACTACTGGATCTGTCCAGTAGCTTGGACTGTGTATGGACTGATTGTTTCACAGTATGGTGATGTAGAAGACACGATTAAAGTTCCGGGTATGATGAAAGATCCGACAATAAAATGGTACATTCAGAATCATTATGGGTACGACCCAAATTTTATGGGGTCAATTGCTGCTGTGTTAGTGGGTTTCACAGTTTTTTTTGCTTTCATGTTTGCTTTCGGCATCAAAATGTTAAACTTCCAACAGAGATAGTATTTGGAAGTCGAATGGGGTTGATTTTATTTTATGCATCACAGATTTTATTTTTATTTTTAGTTACGATGGGAGAAAAAAAAAAGACATATGACAAAGACTCACTTCATATAATTGTCTTTTTAGGTTTTAAATTTTGTTTTATATGAAATGTCATCTTATACATTTAATGTATATACTAGATCTTTACCCGCACAACCGCGCGGATGTTGTTTTCATTTTTATATACATATGTTATTTATTTTAAGACATTAGTGATATATATTTTTTAACGTTGAACATATATTTAAATGTTTATATAAATGTATTGCTAATTTAATTTAATATGCTCTTATGTATTGAGAGAATGAAAATGAGAAGTAAATATGGTTGTTAAGATTTTATTATACAAATACAAAACATAAGCTAACAACTTTTCTAAGGAAGGGTCCATTTTTAAAAAATCATACATGAAGAGAAGTTGTGACTTCTCTTTTAATATAATAGATACATAAGAATTATCTTATTTTCTAAAAGTATAATATTATTAGTGTAAATTTATTTCAATTATAGAATAATTATAACTTTTTATATCTTAATTTTAAATTTCTAATATAAAAATATATTTTAAGACATCAACTTAATATATAAGAAGTATCTTATTTTCTAAGAATCTGATACTATTAATATAAATTTGTCTTAAATATATAATAAATTATATATGAAAATATAGAAATTATGATAACTTATCAAAATTACCTAAAATTATGGAAAATATGACAAATCAGCAAACATCAAATTCACTTTTTTTAAATAATAGTATAGATTTTTTACTTGTTAATTTTAAAATTTATAATAAAAAATATATTTTCAAGATAACAACATATTACATAAGAATTATCTTATTTTCTAAAAATATGATATATTCATATAAATTCAATTTTTTATAAATAAATTATATATAAATATTAAAAATATAATAAATAAATAAAATTGACCTAAATTTATGGATAACATGACAACTAAACAAATTTACTTATTAAATAATAATATAGATCTGTCAAAATTTCCAATATTATCTTTACTTTTAAAAATTTTTAATTATCAAATTTCAATAAAAAATATTAATTAGTAGAAAAATAGAATACTGAATAGATTTATAATATGCAAAAAAAAAAACTTAAGATAAGCACTGATTAATTCCAATCCGTACCATAAACCCCTATTTTTAATGTCGCATCATAATATTTGGAGATTTGACAATAGGAAATGTTACAAATCAAATAATAAATGGTTGTGCAACCATTTCCACTGTTAAATGTTCGAGTCGAACATTAAGTTGGAGTATCTGTTCTTTGGTGTGAAGCTGCTTTCATCTATGGCAAAGCCCAAATCAAATCAGGAGTACGAATCAATGCTGCGCTGGGAATAATTTTAAGAAAAAAGAACATTTTAAAAAGGACCCTACAGTCGAATTTTGTAAATGATTGCAATTCTGCACCATAACAAGTTCCCTACAATATTCCAAACAAGCCACTCTATAATGCTAAAATAGTAAAATCGTGTCAGCATTTCTCCAAATGTGTATTCACACTATCTTTGATCTCTTTTAACTAAGTTCCTTTCTTGTGCTTCAATTTACCGTCTCTTTCGCTTCCCGAACGACCAGTACGGAATTTATATTTGTTTTTTTGTTTGTTTAGTTTATGTTCTGAATAGATCCAACCTATACCAATCACATCCGTGTATATGTATAAGCGTTTGGAGTTATCGAGAGTCACTACTGTTGATACATTTTTCTTAGTTTTTAAACAACAACTGATAGATTTAGGGTAGTTTTTAAACGACAACTGATAGATTTAGGATTGGACTTAAGCCGGGTACTTAGTAATTTTGCCATACATAACACTTGTCTTATCCCATACAAGTATCATAAATATAAATTTGTATTTGTACTTATTAATCAAGTACTTGTTAACCAAGTACTTGCTTAATATTGAAATACTTATAAATTACTTGGTTAGATTTATTACTTGTTTGTTTATGTTTAAAATTTCAAAAGTTAACTAAATCAACATCTTCAAATTTTAAAAATACATGGTAGAATTGTTTTTAGTCAAAATATATATATATATATATTCATAAAAAACTATATAAGATCTTTATAATATTATAGTCAACACAATAAATTAAGAAATATTATGCTTAATATCACTTTGATATTTAAGAAAACATATTTCTAAATTTATATGAATGATGGTTTTCTCAAATAATCATTAGCAAACCCTTAATAAATTTTTAGTTTAATACTAGAAAAACGAGTAACAAGTAATAATAAATCAAGTAGTTAAAAAATTAAGATTTGATATTGGTTTGTACTTGCAAATTTTTGATTTGATGTACTTATTATTTGCCTTGATCACTGCAAAACCAAGTATCGAACAAGTACCAAATATAAACCGGATATCAAATATTTGTGTTCAGTCTTTGTGGGTACTTATGGTATGATATTAGACTATGAACACTTTTTTGATCGACAGGCTATGTACACAATTCTTCGTTATTACTTTATAAGAAAAAAAAATGTACATACAAATATAAATATATATTTTTAGGCATATATATATATATATATATCTTAAGCAGTTGGTTTTAGGATTATCCTTGCTTTACCTACATTAACTTAAGCATACCCAAACTAGTTCCCACGAACTTTTTAGCTCTTTATTATTCATCACAAATTAGCTAAAATTCATTGTTAAACACCATAAACTATTATTTTCTATAAAATCCAACATACCCAAAACAGAATTAGGTAAACCAAAACAACATAACCATTCATCGGGTGTCTTAAATTTTATAGCATAGATTTTTATGTGAGTGCAAGTGAACATGTATTATACACTCGTAGTAGTTAAAGAACGGACACAAGATAAATGTATACTATATTCTATGCTTACAATGAATTGAATAAGCTTCAATAAAAGATGGTAGAATGTGGAATGAACATAAATTTTGTTGAAGTAAGCTAAGTTCTAAATATATTGTGAGAAAACAAAGGTTAATTATAAGATGTTCCAGAGATTTAATGATCACAACACAGTCTTAAATGGAATATTGTGAAAATGTTCAAGTACAATACAACATTGGGTATGGTGGTCCCATGGATAATGAAGAACTTAAAAATCTAATACTAATTTTTGGCTAATAACCACTATTGACTATTATGATCTAGTTAATCTACCCACTATAGCTTATACTAGAGTTCTAACTACTTCGATGAACTATAGTGATTGTTTTACTTCAACTTTCAATCACATCAGCTAATTTGAATAGTATTTTTAGTTGGGATGATGAAATGAAATTAGATATTAATATTATTATGTCAGGAGATTGTCCCTTATGATTTAACGTAATCTCAGATCTAGTTTTGGTTATACTTTTACTTATGATCACCGATTTATTTTTTCTTTTAACTTATTTTATGGGATTATAGCTTTTGGATTAGGGGGAATCACAGTCATAATATTGCAGAGTGTAGTTATTCAGATAATTTGTTTGGCATGTATTTTTTCAAAGGGATGATAAGATGAAGCATATTTTTGTGTACAAAGATCACACATGTTATGGATTTCAAATAACATTGAGAAGACAATTGTTATAGAGCTATCAGCACAACTAAAAAAATATGTTTCCATGTCAGACATTCGACATTCGACATTCGAAGTTTCAACTAATCATCTTCAATACTCTTGAACCAGTCCACAATGTGTTTTTTACATAGTACTTAGTTCAAATTATAGTTAGGTTGTAATAGCTACTTGTAATGAATTTAGCAGCAAAAAAAAGAATGCATGATGTAAATCCAACAAAAAATTCTTAAAAAAAATTTCCTAAGAATATCTATCATTATTAGAAAATCAAATTAAACTAAGAAGTAGATATGGCCACTTGTGTTTTCATGATGTTTAACTAATAATTTCTATATGATTTTTTTTTTTTTTTTTACATTTGTGGGCATTCACTATTACAATGAAAGTTGGAATTGAGGAGAATAATCGAGATGAGACAACAAAAAATAATTAAACTTATATTCTAAACCCACTTACACCCAAAACATGTAGTAGAAAGTATAAATTTCTGGTTCATATACCAATGTTAATATTGTTAAATGCTTAAAGCCAATATATATGTCTTCTCACCATTAAAATATAGTATAAAATACTGTTTGGTATTCGGATTTTTATTTTCTACCAAAACGATAGAGAAGAAAAGTTTGTAAACATGTATAACATATTCAGTATTTAATCAAGACAGAAGTGGTCATGTTATTTGTTAAGCATATATTTCTCTTAATTTATTGTTTTTTCAGATGATAACGTTTCCTTTTCACTCTCAGAAAATATCTTCTCCAACTACATTTTATAAGTATGTATATTCTGTCTCCATTTCCAAAGATGTGTTTCATACAGTAAGAAAGTATAGCTTGTTTATGATATAAATTCGAAATTCACCTATTTCTATGATGTAAGTAATTAAAAGTGTACCAGATTTATTCGCCATTCATGAGATCCTTTGATTAATTTATTAATTTAGAATCAATAGATCGATCATCTACAGTACTTCTCTGTACTTTTTTTTTTCTTGTCAAATCTAAGTGAGCGGTCTACATGTCCAGTACTGTGCTCGACACATGATTAAGTGAGCGGTCTTAATTTAGTTAACTCAAGTCTCTAATATCTTGAAATCAAGTCATGTTCTAACCTTAAAAACAAACACTACTCTACATCTGAGCATGTAAACTTATATGAAGACACATACCACTCAAATTTTTTTTGAACACAAACACATACCAATATATAACTAAATAAAAGAGATTATATCGAGAACTTAATAATGTCTTTAACGTTGCATGTTCCCATCATTTTTATAAATATTCTCTTCCTTTTTCACTTTTTTTTTTTTGCTTTTTTCCTTATTTTATGTAATTGAAACTAGTAATTTGTATCCTATTTCCCCCCATATATATCAGAGATGTCCACCGTCTCAGTATTGCACTGCCACTCGAGGCCGCTAAGATAAAAAAGGAATTAAAAGCTTTATTTTCTCACTTTTTGGTACTTTTTCTCAAAAACTTTAAAGAAAAACTCATAGCAAGAATAAACGTTAAAGAAAATGCAGAGGCAGGTAGCACTCATTAAGCAGTCCCTCTTTGATCAGGTATTTTCTTA